TAAGGTGACCAACTATACTCATTTACTGAGTTTTGTACTCTTTTTTCGCAAACCGTACTCTTTTCAAATCCTGTACTCTGAAAGTACTCATTTGTATAATTTTATACTCATTTGTATTTCTAAAACATTTTTTTAGATTATTTTACTTCAATTTTATTAATTAAATATTTAAAATTATTTTGACAGTGATTTGAATTTCGTGCGCACATATGGCTGCCGTTTCCGGCACAATTGAGAGGCCGTATTATGTACCTGGAGAGATAGATAGATACTACAAACCTCTTTTTCCAACAACGTCAAAATTACATTTGTGAAAAGAGATGGATTTTTCATATTTCATACTGCAATGTAAATCAAGATTTAATGATGGATTTTTACCACTAATTCTAAAGAATAAACTGACCGTTTTGGAAGATTCCAATCCCGGAATAAAAATGAATTTTTAAAACAAGTTCGAAGAATGGATAGTGAACTTTAGAGCATTAAATTGTTTCAAATGGACCCTTCCAAATAGTAAAATTGCATGGAAAGAAGTTTCTTCAGCAGTCGAATTTGTAATGAAGGAAGTAAAAGATATTGTTATTAATGACAATTTCCTCTTTGAAGAATTTCGAAGAGTAAATTTATATTTAAATGAAGAAAAATTGAAGAAATGGAACGATGAGAAAATAGAACTTGACAAAAGATGGGTAGAAATCTTTCGGCATTTTAGAGTAGAACATTTCCCACATGAAAATTTAAAAATTTCCTTATGTTGTCCAGGCACTAATGCTGCTGTTGAAAGGGTGTTTTCACTAGGGAATGATTATTGGAGCAGTGAGAAGTCGCAACTTTCTGTAAAAAAAATCCACTCCGAAGAAAAATATGTTTTTAAAAGAAAATAAAGTATAAATACTCCCAAAGTGTACTCTTTTTGAACAAATAATAGTTGGTCACCTTAAGATAGGTACCTCATTTTCCCGACTACTTTTTTTTTATTTTATACCAAAACTTGTAGATAACAATTTTTGACAAGAGCTTCACTACAACCCTTATAAAAACTGCCCCTACTATAGGCGTCATTGCGTCTTTGTACTGATAATATATTAGCTTCTTTCATATTTTTGTCATTCCAATTTCCATTTTGCGACACTTCGTAGAATTCTCAAAGCTACAATCTATTTATCATCCCCAGAAAATATGGCACAGTGGAGCGCGAGAGAGTTGCTCTTTTCTGTCTCCCTCTCTCTTCATTCGCGCATTTAATTTGCTATCTAACGTGGTAGGCGCNTGTATGAATAATAATGTTCGTGTACAAAATGTGTACATAATATCTTTTATTTCTCTCCATTTAACGACCACTCTTTATAACGCCGAAAAATGTTCAGTCCCTTAAGTGTCGTTATATAGAGTTTACACTGTATTATATCTTAAACTCATCGAGAAAAATTTGTTAGCAAACCTGTTTTGTTAAGAAAACCGTACGTACATATAGAATTTCAAAGAGAATCCTCGTTTGTATGAAAACGTTGTCATACATCAGCTGATACAGCGTCGTTACCAATGTAACGTAAACTGAAACAGTTTGATTCATAAACGAATTGGATATATGTACAAAGATACATTTCTCAATCGAAACATCTTGTTAAGACCACAAAGCCTTTTGTGTTGCAGCTTGCGCTTTGATCTTTACACGTCACGTCATACTAAAACAGAACAGGCCAACGAATTATTATTGCGAGAACGAATAAAGGGATCAGTGACGAATTGGAATTCTTCAGTTGGGAATCATCTAAAATTCTAATGCATCCTGATTCCATTTTATACGTGTCACATTGTCATAATTCCGAACATGCTAGACGTTTCCTTCACCATTAATCCTTCAAAAATAAGCGACATATCTTTTCTGAGAAGACAGGAACTTATTTAATCTTTGATGGTATTTATTTATGCATCCAGCCCTTTTAATCGCTTTATATATTGATATGTTCCCTTTTATTTCCTTGATAGGTAGATAGTAAGGTGACCAACTATAGGTACTCATTTACTGAGTTTTGTACTCTTTTTTCGCAAGCCGTACTCTTTTCAAATCCTGTACTCTGAAAGTACTCATTTGTATAATTTTATACTCATTTGTATTTCTAAAACATTTTTTTAGATTATTTTACTTCGTTTTGTACTCTTTTTTCGCAAACCGTACTCTTTTCAAATCCTGTACTCTGAAAGTACTCATTTGTATAATTTTATACTCATTTGTATTTCTAAAACATTTTTTTAGATTATTTTATTTCAATTTTATTAATTAAATATTTAAAATTATTTTGACAGTGATTTGAATTAATAGAAATTTCCTTATGTTGTC